CCTGCGTCTCCAGCGAGAGTTAATCCACAACTGTTCTGTCTGGGACTGTTAAAACAAACCTAACAACACAGTACGGGAACTCACTGAAATAGATAATCAAGCACGGGCTAAATGAATTAACTAAGGACATGGTATTAACTTATGACACACCTGCACCTTTTTCAAACCATAGCCCTGAACCTAATAAAACAAATTGAATTTGACATGTTAAATGCTATAATCCTTACATGGTATTCTGATACAGGTATTAATAGCCGTTATCTTGTAGTTTCGTGATAACTATAATTCGCCCTTCTGCAGTAGCGTAGTGCCATCACTAAATCCTTCCATCACAGTATGACAGTGCACTCACAACCATGGCAGCCTAGAGCTGGAACTGGGTTTTTGCTGTTGTAGGACAGAACTGAAGAGCTGCAGCAGGTTATTACAGCTTCATCAGTCTTGATGGAAGCAGCTCTCTGAGCCTCACTGGAGAATGGCTGTTGATCAAGTCCACTATCGAAGCTCTCGGGCTATTTACAGAAGTGACACTGGAGATGCCAGCGGAGTCATGTGGCCATTTTGAAGGTCATTCCTCTGGCAACAGTACTTCAGAAAAGAGCTTCATCTACAGAGCAAAACGCCTGGTCACCTGAAGCATAACTACCCAAGCAATGCCAGAGTTAATTTGAACATTTAACAACATCGTAAGCCGTTTCAACAATACTTAGTATACTTTGCAAAGCTTAAACTCTCAATACTGCCCATCCCTACTGCAAACAGCTGTATCTCCTGCCATAGTTACATACAGGGATTTCACGAACGTCCACACCAAAGCACTTTGTGGAACGAGGTGCCCGCCTCCAGATAACACATCTCAGCGAACTGGGGTACAGGCTGCTCGGTAACAGTCAGTCATTCAAGACCCCATGCCACTTCTCACAACAAAAGGCGTTATCCCCCAGTGCGATGGCTAAAGCCCACTTTGGACGTGAACAATACAAGAGATAAGATAAGATCACTTTACTGGCCATATACAATTTCTTGCATTAGGAATTTGTCTTTTCGCATACCCCAACTTGCTCTCCATGAGACACACAGACAGGGAGAGAAGCTTGGGGTCAGAGCGCAGGGTCAGCCATTGATACGGCGCCCCTGGAGCAGTTGGGGTGAAGGGCCTTGCTCAGGGGAGTAGGATTCCTCTGCCGGCTGCGGGATTTGAACCAGCAACCTTCCAGCCACAGGCGCAGAGCCTGAGCCACAGAGCCACCGCTCCGCCCACCTCACGGCTCCCTACATCTCAGGGGTAAAGATATTTCTCACTTCGGCACGTGACCAAGCATGCAGCCAGGGCCCACAAGGGGGCGCTCTGTCCTTCAGCGGAGGACGGAGCTGGCACCCCCCTGCCTCCTCCTCCTCCTCTATAGGCCAAGCTAGGATGAAGAGTGCTCCGCAAAACGAAATCACAGAGAAAACGTAAATCAAGCCGTTTCAGAGCCTGACAAAGACCAGGATCACTGACGATCCATCTGTCTCGCACTTTGTCGGATTAAGAACCAGCCTCGCTAGCATCAGGTTTCCTGCTCTCCTGAGCCTGATAAGAGGCTGCCCGTCCGCCGCGGGAGACGAGGAGACGCAGCAGGTGTTCCTGGAACACGAGGGAAGGAAACACACTCCTGTGTCACACGGCCGCACCTCAGAACTGCAGTGGCTCCAAGTGACAGAGCACATGGACCAGCAGCCTCGGGGGGTCTCTTCCAGACCAGCGGACCTCCGGCTGACAGCTCACAAGGCCTTGTTAGCACTGTGAGCCTGTATCGGAGCACTCAGGGTAATTGGGAGTCGCAGCCGGTGGACAAAAGGGTGTGAATTGTACCGATGCTGCTGCCATTGTTGTTGGCTTCTAAATTACTTTCCCTCCTTAAACTAGACGCTTGCAGGTTCAGTGCCCGTGATGGCGAGGTAAGCAGCTGACAGGCCGCTTCTGTAACTCCACGCCAGGCTCTGTAATTGCCCTGCAGACAAGTGCCTTCCCACTCCTGCGGGAGGTTTCTGCTCGCGCACAAACGAGGAATGAATCTTCTTCACTTCACCGCGGTAAGGAAAAAAGAGAAGTACAGCCCTCGGCCTCACGCGGACCTGGAGTCTGCTGGGCAGAACGTTTCTAAGATGAAATGCAGGGGGTGCTTCAGGTGTGCAGCTGGCGTTGACAGCTGAGTGTGGCAAGAGACCCACAGCCCTGTGACCAGCTGGCTTCTCCCCAGGGAGACGATCAGGAGACCAAGTCAGGTGTGCGTCCCGCAAGAGGACATGACAGGAGGGTGCAGGCCAAAGGAAAGAGCAACACGATGAGCTGAAGGAGCACCAGTCCTGGACAGGGGTCCTGAATGGACAGGAAACCAACGGCACACAGAGAACCCAGGTGTTACTTCCCTACTACTGACAGACAGAGAAGATCATTGCCCAGAACGTTAAAAACTTCCATCTACCTGATAACCTTCTCATTTCTCAAACAACGCATTCACCCGTGATGACAACAACGACCACATCTACAAAGCATAAATTGTTAGCGTGTCACAAATGAGTAGGTAGTGCAGGCTGATGAACTCAAAAAGTGCAAGTGGCATTTAATAAGGTTTTAAGAAAGGCACAAGGACAAGCTGCCTCCGCAATACCTGAGTCCTTGATGCATAATTAATTCAGGATGTTCCAGCACTAAAGTTGAGACGGTAAGGTGAGGTGTGTCTAAATGAGTTCTCTCCAACAAGAAAACAAAATGCGCCGAAGCCGCAGGCAACTGCGAGACGTAGGATTGCTCCAATTTGTTAAGAGAATGTCTTCAACCCCCACAGGCCAGCCTTTAATAGGCAATGTGGTGAAAACATCGCACACATAACCAGAGCCCCTGTAATGGTTACAAGGCAGCGAGATCATTTTCTGCCACAGGTGAATTTAAAGACGAGAAAGCAACAAGTCTTTCATATCCGCAGTACACTCTTCAAATTCGACAAGTTAGGAACAGATACCGGTATCGATAAAGATGAGCTGGAGTACCTCACCACCCAGAGCTGATGCCACCCTATTACACTGTATGAAACTGCTGTATCATCCCTCTTGCTCTTGTCTCTGTCTCTTCACGGCGAGCTGTGGAAGTACCTGCTGGCCGTCTCTCAGTCCACAGTCCCCAGTCAGCCTGGGAGAAGCTCAGTACCAACTACTTACCACCACCCCCACTGCACAGGAGACCAGGTGGGGAAATGAGCAATCACTTCAGTTTAATTACAGGAATGTTACACAGGGCAGTGTAGCCCCATGCAAACGGAGAGAGACGGATTTAGCCAGAAATTAGCCAGATTTTACGTCTCACCCGAAGGACGGCGCCTGTTTACAGTATAGTGTCCCCGTCACCATACTAGGGCATTAGGACCCACATGGACCGCAGGGTGAGCGCCCCCTGCTGGCCCCACTAACACCTCTTCCAGCAGCAGCCTCAGTTTTTCCCCAGGAGTCTCCTATCCAGGTACTGGCCAGACTCACGCCTGCTGAGCTCCAGTGGGCTGCCAGCTGCGTGTTGCAAGGTAATATGGCTGCTGGCTGTCACAAATTATCCGTCGTGATAATGAACATCTTCAGAGGGCACTTTGGAGAGGCTGAGGCACCTATGCTGTGCTCTCCAAATTTGGTTTATTTGTTTAGTTTTGCTGCGTCTAGCACGTGATCTAGAGGAAGAGATGCCAGTGAACAGAGCCTACCAGAACGTCTCTGAGCTGCATTCGAACAAACTGAAAAGGGTAAGTAACCTTCCAGAGCGACTATCACCTTTCACTCTAGCTTGTGGTCTCCCTGCCTCAGAAAAAAACAGCAGGCTGATATTAACTTCCTGCATCCCAAAGGGCAGCACAAGCCTATTACTGCCCACACCATCCAGACTGACTCACTGTAGGCACTGCGAAAGCACTTTCCTGTTCAAATTATCACCCCTCATAAAGAACGAGATCCTCAACAACTAGAAGTTGAACAGACATCAAAAACCTATGGAGGAGGGAAAGTACATCCTCAGCACAGAAAAGCGATTGATTACTATACATCAGGATGACCACCTGTAAATGAAAAATTCTGTTCAACTCAATAGAAATCACTTTGACCAATTCTGACAGGTTTTCTGTTGGATGCCCTCTCCCCCTCATCAAACTCAGTGATTCAAAGGACTTCAACACTGGTGATGCACCACTTCAAATAATAAAAATTAAAAATGCACTGGCTGGTTAGCGAAATCAACAGTTGTAAGGACTAGAGTGCAAGGAAAAGAAAACTGTGCAAAACTCAATATTGACTCGTTCATTTGCCTCCATTTGTTCCAGTCACTTGCGTTAATGGGTCACCTTGGCAAGGCGATTACAGCTGCACTTTGCTGCAGCCAGTAATTAGCAGGAGAGTATATCAGACTCCTAATCCAACGTTTGTTTAATTGCATTAGTCGTACAATGACTTTATTCACAAAGCACACCTGACATTCTGCGTTCAGCTCTGTGCTTTGTCTCAACCGATGGTGGGCACAAAAACGTATGTATTTTGTCACTGGGTGAGCAAGTTTGGTGCATCTTACAAAATATTTTAAAGGGAAAAAAAATGTATCCCCCTTTGTGGGCTTTCAGATAAGCCCATAAACAACTTACGTGTTGTTTGGAGGGATTCGTGGCCTTGTAAAAGTCAGAAGAGATCCAACATTTGACCCACATTGATGGCCTGTAGCTCAGGTTACAAGCCTAACATCTACACTGTAACCACGGCTTCCAATGGCCAACGCATTTTACAATATTCACAAAATTAAAAAAGGGGGAGATGGATCTGTCCTTAATTGGAAAGCCTGGAATGTGCTTTCAGATAACGTCTGTCCCTGAAGCACTTGGTCCAGGGCAGGACTACACCCTGAATGAGACAGCAGTCTGAATGGGGAGGGCCCGTTCAGAGATACTGATTGACCCAGTCCATATTTAAACATTACAGTGTCGTTAACAGTCTGAATACATCATTTACATCCTCGCAGGACAAAAGAATCTGACGACCATGTCTCAGGGTGGTGAGTGTGCCTTCAGGCTATGCTTCTTTCATGTATCTACAATGTAAGATAAACTTTGATCAGTATTTGCACATTTTTATGGAATTAATTTACATCCATACAATGATATCAAACAAAAGTCTTTATGACCTGTTAGATTATAGGATCCGTTTTGAAGTCTGTAACACCTAAAATGAACAGCTTTTCAATTATGATGCTGCATGCCGATAAAAGCTTTACAGTAGTGAGAAACTGTTTAATATCAATTCTCAAGAGGGATTGGTGGCAGTGTCGCTTCAGAAACCCTAACTGAAAAAAAGCATTAGATCTCCTCAGGTAACGAACATAATAAAACAACGAAAAACAAATTTGTTAGGAATGTCTTCAATCATTTGTACCGTGACAATTGTGTCTGTCATGTAAAAAAAAAAATCAATCATGCTTAACCTTCTTTGGCTGTTTACAGGCATCAGACATTTTGTGAATTTCGCTCTACTGTATTTACGATGTTTATCGGTTCAGTGGAGCAACACCGGCTATATTATTATTGTCCAACTCAACAATAATTACTCGCTAAACTGGGGTCCAGTACTTCATGTAGTACTTCAAGGACGAGGCAGGTTTGGCTAAATCGATTATTCGGGACTGTACCCCAAGACCTCGTTCTCTGCACCCCCTTAGCCGACTGGCATAATTAGGCCATCTCCTGGTCACCGGTGGCACCACGCTGCAGGGGGATGAGAGAGTTAACATCGCAAATCGAATCAGCTGCTAAACATGTCAGGTGGGTCAATAAACCTCAAGCCTTTAAAATGCAGTTCACATGGTGACGGAGCAGCAACACTTCTTGACCCGACGGTCTCAAGGGCAACTTTTATTGAACTCTTGCATCCCTCCTGCGCCGACCACCGGGCCTCAAGGCAGCCGGTATCCAGGAAACCGTCTCCTGGAGCCGGCCTGCACATCCGTCACAGCCCCCCCTGGGGGATTTCGGGATAAGCAGGTCCCCCGGCTCGGAGACTCACCGTCGGGGACTCGGGAGCTGAAGCTGATGAACTTGCTGGCAAACATCAGGATCAGCAGCACCCAGCCGCAAGCGCCCAGAAGCAGCCAGCGGTGCCGCATCGTGTCCGGCGTCATCCGCTCCCGGGCATCGGGGCAGCACCGCGACCTGCGGGCCCGGCGTCACAGCGCAAAACAAAATAGAAACAAAACAAAACAAAACAAACAGGAAATCGACGTGAATTCACTGGTCAGGACGTTGAAGGCGAGGGGGGGTTGGGTTCACACCTCGTAAGGTCCAACACGCCACGGGAGAATAAATCGATCACAAGGACACCAGACTGACTGCCAGCAATGAGATAAATCTACACCCCCCTCCCCGTCTCCGTCTCCAAACTGCAGTTCAAGGACAGCGAGCGTCCCAACATGTGTGCAGCCCCTTAACCGAGAAACAGCTGGTCACAGAGCCCGACCCTTCTGAACTGACCCTCTGCCCTCCTTAAAAATAATTGAACGTCACACGCTGTATTCAACGTAAATGGGGAGGTGGAGGTGGGGGAGTTGGGCAAGGAATAGTGCAGGCGCTTCTTTTTAGCTCTTGTGCAAAAAAAAGTGTTGCAAAAAAAAAAAACACCGAAGCCTTAAAAGTCGCTCGATGTGACCCCCCCACCTCCCCAAGGATACACTTTACCAGAATAAACGAATCCGTCGTTTTCAACGCTCACCCGGTCACCGTCACCTGCTAAATATGCCAGTTTAAAACATTTTTTTTTAGAAAATGATGAGCGGGTGAGTTTTGAGAGCTGCTTTCTTTTTTTTTTTTTAATAGGCTTGACCACTGTCGCGATACGTATTTGGATTGAAAACGACACGGTGACGCGTTTCAAAGCGGCTCGGGTGTCTGTTTTGGGCGTTTCTGACATGCCCGTCTACAAGAAGCACTTTTTAAACTCGTGTCAAGACGAGCTGCGCTGATCGGGACTGCATTTCCGTCTCCCCTTCACGTTTTCTTATGTAGAACCCCGTCACGGACGTACTGGAAACCAATGATGAAATGCGTGTGTTGTTATACGTACACCAGCACTAACAACTACTGTATCTCCGTGTCTTCGTGCTTCTGCGCTGCTCTTTCTGCAGGTGTTGGTCTGTTAGCGGCTGTTTTGACAGACAGGACATATGCGTGTTACTTTTGAGTCGCAAGTTTCTCACACCCCCCACCCCCGAATCGTCTCGGTGTGTTTTCGTGGGATTGTAGCCTCTATAAATTAAATCACCCAGGAGGTGCGGCGCCCCTGTTAAATACACGGTTGCGACCCTCACGTCCCCAGAGTGGGAGAATAACCGTCCTCATGTGGTAACAAAAAGGGTACGTGTTCCCCGTCCACTCGGCATAAAACATCTGCACGGAAGCCCCAGAGTATCTTCCTACAAATGCACGATGCACGCTCGGATTCACCCTTCATTCAAAAGCAAAAACACACAAACGTGTGTGGGGCGGAGAAAAAAAAAACACACAGATAAAAGCAGGGAAGCGCTAGTCTTGACCGGAATTACAATGCAACGCTGCCCCAGCGCATCTACTGCATATCCGTTTTCCGAACAGCCGGCCCCGGGCCTCGGGTCCCGCGGCGCAGCGTAGCCGGGGTGTACCTGCACCGAGCCGGGCTCGTCGCAAGCGAGGTGGCGGTGCAGCACCACGGGGGAAAGCGGAGGAAACCCACAGTCGTGCATGCACCCACCTTCTAGCTCATACCGTGCACGGCGACGGAAGGGCTTCGGCCGCGTCAGAGCCACCGCCTTTCGTCCATAACGCCGAAAACATATTCGTTTGTTTATTGGCAATAACTGTATCTTCTTTTCACTGTTGGGTAACAAAAAGAAGACCGAAATCTGTCGCCCCCTACCGGCCAGTGGATACAATACAGTTGTGAATAAACACGTGTCAGGTCACCCACCGCAAGAGGCAGATGGGATTAGGACTACTCCTAATTCGCAGTCTGTTTCATAACGGATTAATCTTTTGGCGCTTAGGTGTACGTGTGTGACACGCTGAAACCTAAAGAAAGTGCAACATAACATTGTATTATAATACTTCATAAACTGCGTGTTTTCTGGTTTTACTGGCAAAATGATTGAACATATAGTACTACCTGTACTAGACTCCTATGGAGTCACCTGGAAATCCAGAGCTCACACCTGCCTCCGTTCAAAGGTTTACGAGCGTGTTGGCGTGGCCGTATGGATTACAAAGCGAATGTCTATATTGATTGCAAAGCCCGTCTTTTCACCACTGCAACTATCTCGTTATCGCAGTGCTGTCAGTTTTGTTGCCGCCACTTTATCTGCTGTTTTAAAGTGTGTTTCCCATCTCCTCTGCTTCAGTTGGCTTTAGTATATCTCCCCAGCAGTGCAGAAAACAACGGGGGAGACATTTACTGTGCCTTCGTGCTTCAATTCAGACATGTTACTGAGACAGAGCATGTTCTCCTTCCCGAGATGCATTAGGTCCGTCATGTTTGAAGACGGCATTCATCCAACAGCCCGTGCTAATTTTAATTAACGCGCAGTGCTTAGCTGCTGAACAGTGCTGGAAATTGTTTTTAAATCCTTTCTTTCATTGTTTTATAGTTTGTATTCTGTTCAATCCTTAGGCGATAAATTACAGATTTGCAGTACAAGACTAAAAGTAATCTGGAAACCTTTTTTTGTGTCGTACACCGTAGAAGGCAGATGGGTTTTACCTCCCAGACGCCTTTTTTCCAAGGCTCAAGACCTGAGACCTGTTCTACACGAGCGCTGTGGCTCCTGGCTGTTCTTTCAATTAGGCAAAGGCCGGTACGTTTTCACACGTCTCAAACCTCAGTGGGGATCTGAACTATGACAGAGTATTCCCGTGTCCATTAAACAGCACTACTGTATTTCTATCA